AATCCATCTGATTTTTTAGTTAGAACAAAAGAAACTTTTATGTACATAACTCTATGAAAAACTTACCTGTTACTCGTATGGCACCATATAGTCTAAATGTATATATATATATATATATATATATATATAGAATAAACTGAAAAAGCGATGAACGCTTGTAATCAACGCTGATCAAATAGAATACAATACTCCAATATTTGGGTGTGCAGCGGAAGATGGGACAAAGAAGTACTCTTTTTAGTTAACCAAGCTTTCGCAAATCTTTATTTGCATCATCAGGGTGCTACAATAAACAGAATTAGTATAAATTACAGAGTAAGACTTACTTTGCCTCTTACACTAATTGAGGTTTGTTGTCTTGATGTTTATTAAATGAAACTGGGAACTCATTTGACCCCTATAACTATGGCGAAAACTATCCAAAAATTGATTTAAAACGTTCTTTAACATACATAAAACACTTAGAACACACATACATAAACATTTAAATAAAATTATGTTAAAATAGTTACAAAACATGTACGTAGTCACAATATAAAATTTTGGTTATAAATATTCTTATCAGAAACAAAAGAATTGCTTGTGAATTCGTTGCTACCAACTTGAAACGACAGAACGTTAGATCTTAAATGATAACGATGTAAAGGTGATAGTATACCTGATAGAAGCTGAACTTATTGAAAAAGAAAAGATGAAAAGACTTATTTTAGAAATAGGAGAGATATTGTATATCTCATATATAATTAAACTTATATTGTTGACGATGAATTGTCTGTATTAGTAGATTCATGTTTATCTAAAGTTAACAATAATGAATATAAGTTGCTTAAATTCTTGGTATCTGTCTTTTTATTAACGGTTTCTTTTTCTTGAAAAATGAAAGCCATCTCGAGAAACAATCTTTTTGAATAATTGCTCTCCGTGGATAGGATTTTCACATTTGGAAAATCGAAAGAGTGTCCTGTTGTGTTAACATGTGTGGCTAGGGAACATCTATCAGGGTGTAACCTAATGTCACTCTTGTGAAGAGTTAAACGGCTGGAAACTTTTTGGGAGGTGTGACCTATATAAGAACCTTCACAGTCTAAACAATTAAGTTTGTAGACCACATCACTTTTATCTAAGTTTGGTACTTTATCTTTCAATGACTTGTACAGAGATCCCACAACTAGAGTGCTTTTATAAGCAATTTTTACATTTGGTAGGTATTGAGCAAAAATTCTGGTCAATTTGGGAGTGACGTCCTTAATAAATGGAAGTGATGCAAAAGATATATTAGGAATATTGTTAGTCGGTGAGTGGGAAACAGAGGTAATTTTCATATCACCTGTATTTTGGGAAAGGTTTACTTGTGTGTTGAGTATAACAGAGGATGTGTTAAAGATGATTTTCCTAAGTAAGGATTCGGGGTAAGAATTATCTAGGAACAACTGTAAAAGGATGTTGAGATTCTTCTTTCTAAAAATAGGGTCAGCTAGTTTACAAACTCTTGTGGTCATTTGTTTTACTAGATTAATTTTCATGCTTGACTTGTGGTAAGAGTGGTAGTTGAGATATCTTCCAGAGTTACACTTTTTTCTATACCAATCAATTGTAATGATGTTATCCAGTTCCCTGATGAATATTGTGTCGAGAAAAGGAACCGATTGGTTTTGATCCTCTTTTTCAAGAGTAAATTGAATGTGGGGGTCATAGCTATTAAAAATATCTAAGAGCTCACTTTCTAAACCTTGTGGGTTTAGAAAGTGAGCACGACATTATTATGTCGTGCCCACAAGGTTTAGAAAGTGAGCTCTTAGATATTTTTAATAGCTATGACCCCCACATTCAATTTACTCTTGAAAAAGAGGATCAAAACCAATCGGTTCCTTTTCTCGACACAATATTCATCAGGGAACTGGATAACATCATTACAATTGATTGGTATAGAAAAAAGTGTAACTCTGGAAGATATCTCAACTACCACTCTTACCACAAGTCAAGCATGAAAATTAATCTAGTAAAACAAATGACCACAAGAGTTTGTAAACTAGCTGACCCTATTTTTAGAAAGAAGAATCTCAACATCCTTTTACAGTTGTTCCTAGATAATTCTTACCCCGAATCCTTACTTAGGAAAATCATCTTTAACACATCCTCTGTTATACTCAACACACAAGTAAACCTTTCCCAAAATACAGGTGATATGAAAATTACCTCTGTTTCCCACTCACCGACTAACAATATTCCTAATATATCTTTTGCATCACTTCCATTTATTAAGGACGTCACTCCCAAATTGACCAGAATTTTTGCTCAATACCTACCAAATGTAAAAATTGCTTATAAAAGCACTCTAGTTGTGGGATCTCTGTACAAGTCATTGAAAGATAAAGTACCAAACTTAGATAAAAGTGATGTGGTCTACAAACTTAATTGTTTAGACTGTGAAGGTTCTTATATAGGTCACACCTCCCAAAAAGTTTCCAGCCGTTTAACTCTTCACAAGAGTGACATTAGGTTACACCCTGATAGATGTTCCCTAGCCACACATGTTAACACAACAGGACACTCTTTCGATTTTCCAAATGTGAAAATCCTATCCACGGAGAGCAATTATTCAAAAAGATTGTTTCTCGAGATGGCTTTCATTTTTCAAGAAAAAGAAACCGTTAATAAAAAGACAGATACCAAGAATTTAAGCAACTTATATTCATTATTGTTAACTTTAGATAAACATGAATCTACTAATACAGACAATTCATCGTCAACAATATAAGTTTAATTATATATGAGATATACAATATCTCTCCTATTTCTAAAATAAGTCTTTTCATCTTTTCTTTTTCAATAAGTTCAGCTTCTATCAGGTATACTATCACCTTTACATCGTTATCATTTAAGATCTAACGTTCTGTCGTTTCAAGTTGGTAGCAACGAATTCACAAGCAATTCTTTTGTTTCTGATAAGAATATTTATAACCAAAATTTTATATTGTGACTACGTACATGTTTTGTAACTATTTTAACATAATTTTATTTAAATGTTTATGTATGTGTGTTCTAAGTGTTTTATGTATGTTAAAGAACGTTTTAAATCAATTTTTGGATAGTTTTCGCCATAGTTATAGGGGTCAAATGAGTTCCCAGTTTCATTTAATAAACATCAAGACAACAAACCTCAATTAGTGTAAGAGGCAAAGTAAGTCTTACTCTGTAATTTATACTAATTCTGTTTATTGTAGCACCCTGATGATGCAAATAAAGATTTGCGAAAGCTTGGTTAACTAAAAAGAGTACTTCTTTGTCCCATCTTCCGCTGCACACCCAAATATTGGAGTATTGTATATATATATATATATATATATATATATATATATATATATATATATATATATATATATATATATATACGTATATATATATACTAAAAACGGATTAAAAGTTGTACGTTTTGACCGCCTTGAACTTGAATTTCTGTTTCAAGTGTTTGTAGTTTGCACGCGGTGAAGTTTATCTTTCGATAATCTTACTACGATAACATCAATTATTATAAAATATAATTTTCATTACAATCGATTGTGACTTAATCTCATTTAAACTAATATTTAACTTAGACATGCCATAAGAAAACAATTTTAGAATCTTTTTAATAATTTTTTGCATTATAATATTTTTACAAACAATTTTTCATAGGTAGCATTATTATTCAGGTTGTAAATTGTCTGCGCTGGAGGTAAGGCTCCAACGAATGCTTTCATATCTCCCTATCGAGTTCACTTTATATCCGGTTTGTATGTGTACGTCATAAATAGTCATTCCATACTGTTTGAAGACGTCCTCTATTTCCCTACGTCCTCCAAAGGCACTTTATCTGGATCTATATTCGACAATTCTTTGATTAGAATTTTGTGATTTCTGTGATTAGAATTCAGTATCTTATAGAATATTTGTTTCATTAAATATTGTGTGTTTCGTATGGTATTAACTGTTCTTTTGCCAAGCTAAGGGGCTTTTCGTTAAAGTCTGCTATTAGAACTATGTCGTCGCCGTTGGTATTGTTACGTAAAAAATGAGTCATATTAAAAACCTGTAAACATATTGTTTATTCACTAATATGTTCTAGATTTTACGACCCTTCGACTAGCTGGCAGAAATTCCAAGTACTAAAAACGGTCCATTTGAACGTCCTGAAATAGGTTGAATAAAGAAACCAGCCCGCAACCTTCTAGTATTGTCGTCAGGTCAACATACACGGGCTTCGAGAAACTCTATACCAGACGAGAAGGTCATCGACTCTTCTAGTCTAACAGATGTTTTCATATAAATAACGGGATTTTCATTGTGGGGAACCGGTCAGAAGGGAATATCGCGAATATCGGGTTTTTAAATGTAACGATCGTATTAAACGATCGTATGTAGTTATTAGTGTGAAATAAATTAGTTATATTGTACAAATAATTAAACTTTAAATTCAGTTGTAAGCGTTATAAATATAGAACTTTTGATAAATAATAAAAACAATAAATAAGCATTAATAAAGACTTATCAGTATCTATGCTTAAGTCTCTTAATGCTGTGAGAAGTCTGTGTTTACATACTCTAATGGCTTCGATTTCCATTTCGTCTTTACCAAATGTTTCTTTTTTTTCATGCCAGCGGATACATATCTTATCTCCCAAAGAGTAATTTCGGAAATGTCCTCTGATCCTTGATTAATGACAATGGGGACGGTGGTGTATGTATCTTTTTTGGATTGTTTCATACAATTCTTTTTAAAAAGTTTCCACGAATCTCAACTATTTTTTCTCTATTTGTTACTGTTTGTTATTTGATAGATATGTCCATTTAATGCAAATTAGGAGCTCAATTGGAGCACTAATTACACTCTGTACGTCCTTAAATGGAGATATCGCTTTACCAGTTTTTTTTTGCCTTCATCATCGTATGTATTTTTGGCCTAAATATTCTTTTGAGAGTCCAAGATTGTTGGGAAACAAGGACAGAAAAAATAATAATATACTTTGTCAGATTTTTTATAAGAAATAAATGTATAATTGCTTTTGTAAGACAGAAAAAAATTAATTATCACATGTAGAATTTCCTAAAACACATCCATATTTTATCACATTTTTTAAATATTCCACTGATTTCTTTGGTGTTCTTGTTCGATTGGAGCTAGTAAAATCTACGTGGTACAGCCCGAAATGTTCTCTAAAATTTATAACTTAAATTAAAGGTAAATATAGAAACAAATATTTTTTTATAGATGTGCACAAAACAGCAAAAAGTAGGTATTTACTTAGCATCATGCGAATATTGTTTAAAGGTTTACCTCGGATAAATATAGAGAATTTAAAAAGACTCTAGTACAGGAGGAACGCCAAGTAGAAAATGAAGTAAAAGAAGAAGAATGACGTTCGGAGAATATTTGACGAGATATTACAGAAATTCGGTTTCAAAAACGTCAAAAAAAGTAAAAGTAAACGAAGAAACCAAAAAATGTATTGAAGAAAAGAAAATTCTATGTATGAAAAGTATGAAAAACCAATCACTAGAAGACATTCAGAAGTACACAGAGAAAACCGGAGAAGTAAAACGAAGAAGTGCAAAGGAAAATCAAACAATACATAGGAGACACAACAAAAACAGAATCCTGGAAAATATTGAAATCTTTAAGGAAAAATACCAACGAAAAAACCCAAATAGAATACATATTAAAAGAAGAGCGAGAGGAAGACTTTAAAAAAACTACTCACAGAAAACAGTCCAGATTTCATAGATACAGACACAGTATGAACAACAACAAAATCAAAATGAAAAATGGATTGAGCTAACATTAAGCGAAGTAAAGAATGCCATAAGAACTCTAAAGAACAAATTTCTTGTATTTTAGCACAGTTTATTAAAAATTTTCTCTTTTATTTCTTTGATTTTAATTGTGGCTGTAATCTTCCAAGAAAAAATAGATTATTACCAAATCACATAGAAAATTATTATCATCAAAGGGTTTGAGAAAAATGTGTTTACATTTAAATAGCTGTGATGGAATAATAGAAAAAATTTAGATAGTAGTTTTGTTATGTTGAATACTTACGTATATCCACGTAACCATTCGAAATTATCCATCAAACTCCACGCTGTGAATCCGAAAACATTTACTCCATCATCCATCGCATCTTTTACACTGCTCAAGTGTTGCTAAAAGAAGAATTCTATATAAAAACACCATCGCTTACAAAAGTTATTGACTTACCTGGTAATAGTCAATTCTTGAATCATCTTCTAGAGAAGAACCATCTTCAGATATACCGTTTTCGGTTATTATTATTGGAATATCGCCATATGTGTTCTTGATCCAGTTCAATGTTTTTCTTAGTCCCCAAGGAACAACCTGTATTTTGAATACGGATTATATTAATGAGTTGATTAATATAGTTTAGGAAAACAAATATAAACACTGTGATCTCAAGAAACTATAGTATTAAACACTTAATAATATTGGTTGTTTATTTATTTAATTTCAATTTACTAGATTATTTTTTATCACTTAATTTTACTTTGTTTGTTTAATCATTTTTTAAGTCATATTTAATTATCACAGGCATATAATATAGGTGTAGTTGCTGTATTTTTTTACCAGACAGCACCCTAATAAGGGTTTTATAATTATATCATTAGTTTACCATGTATTTTAGGACCTGAAGATGTATAGCAAATTATAGTATGCGAAACCAGTCGTTGGTGGTAGACTAAACTGATTATGAGTAAGTCTTATTCTTATGCCTTTTTATCTATTTGAAATGGACTCGGACAAGCAACATATTCAAGATTTACTCTAAGAAAGGTTTTGACTAAGTTTAGCTTGATAAATTCAAAAATGAATAACTATAGGAAAATTAACTAACTGAAGAAGGACAAACTTGAAAAATAAATCAATATTGATTTATAAATTAGACAAAAACAGAAATTCCACAAAAAACTTACCCTTAACCATGATGAGGCCGATTTAGGCCATTCATCTTTTTGATACGTGTTAACCTCCGCATCTGCTTCAGAAGAAATAACATCTATTCGTTTATCATCAGCATCTTGTACCATAAACGTGGTATAATAGTTCAGTCCCAAATAATCAAGGGTACCTTTCAAGTATTCGATCTCATCTTGTGTGAATTGTGGAAGACGCGATTGACTAAAGCCTTCAAGTGAACTTCTTTCTGCGATTACCGTCTTCATCACTTCTGGATAGTCACCCAATATTACAGGTCTCGCAAACCATCCATGCTGAAAAATATAGTTTGTATTAACCTTGTGATAACTCATCAATATTGTCGGACATATTACAGATTTCTAATTGCTCTTTAGTCGTTGTTATAATAATAACAGACTATTTGGTTTTACATGATAACAAGGATTTTCTGCAAAATGGTTAGTTCTATGTAAGTGAAAAGTGATTTATAATATAATTTTTAAAAGAAGAAAAATCGGTTATTATCTCTTACACTAAATTGCTGTGCTCGTTCTGCAGCATCTACATCTTTAGTACTATTAGTGTCTGGCTCTAACCAAGCTGTATCTATCGCCATTCCAACTTTTCCTAAAACCGAAATAATATATATATTAGTTATTCCATAAATCTAAAATTTAAAAGGAATAAGCTTGTGGTGACGGAGTGTGAGAAGAAAGACGTGGTAACAAATACTAATACAAGACATGACTGTGAAGGGTTATATATATTCGACCCAGCAGAGAGGTAAAGGCAACTAATAATAATAATACAAAAATGCTTATTTCTATCTTACCTTGTTGTGTACTACGAAACTGTTCGTCATACAAATGCCACGCTTTTGCATGAGCCTTGAGGAGGTTATGGGTACAAAGATATTCCCCAATACCAGGTGAATCAACGAGAGGTGCTTTTTGATGATTACCGTAACCTTCATGGCAGGTTTGACTAGGTTCATTGAATGTCAACCAGTATTTAATATCATCACCGAAATTTTCAAATACTACTTTGGCGTAATCTACAAATCTATCAATTATTAGCTCGTTTGTCCATCCACCCAAATTTTCTAATGGTTGAGGTGTATCCCAATGGAATATAGTTACTAAAGGTTCGATGTTGTTGGTTCTAAGTTCCTTGAGGAGGTTTTTGTAATAAGCGATTCCAAGAGGGTTTATTTTGTTGTTAAAACCTAAAAAATAAAAAAAGTAGAAATGTACAGGAACTGGGTAAATACATCTAATATATCGTTTAAGGAAGCATTTTTATATTATTTTCAAATGCTATCACCCAGGCTTGTATATACAGATTTATTTTTGGTTTTCATCAATAATATATTTTAATTAAAGTATTGTATTATAGTGGCTTACCTGTGGGTAAAATCCTGGACCAAGACAATGAAAATCTATAATGGGTGACTCCCATATGTTTAAGCATAGCCACGTCCTCTTTATATTTGTGATACGAGTCGCAAGCTACATCTCCTGTTGAGTTATCGACAATTGGTGATGGCACTCTGTGAGTTACTTCGTCCCAATTGTTTTCTCCTTTACCATCTTCGTTCCAGGCACCTTCGACTTGGTAGGAGGCAGTCGCCGTACCAAACATAAAATCTTTTGGGAATTTGGATACATTGATTGTGGTCGCCAAACTGGAATTATAAGAATTTTTGTAGAAAAGATACAAAACCATAAGTAAATAAAACCATTCCATGAGAACTTAAACCATTTGGTGAGATTATGGAGCTACGATCTTACCCTATTATAACTTGCAGAAGTTGGTATTTTGTAATTTTGTATTATGCAATACGCATAAACGCAATATTGTACTTATTGCGTTTTTATTTAATTATTAATTTTTGATCATTTTGGAAGTGTTGGAAGACTTTGCTTTTAAATTTACTATATTTTCAAAAGAATTTTAACACATTTGTCTTTGAGTATATGCACTGAAATTCTATCTTTATTATCTTTACTATCCTTTTTTTTTTCAAAATATTAATGAATTTTATGTCCACTTCTATTGATATTTCTGAAGTCCAGTATTTTTAGTTTTAATTAAACATTTAAATAAGAACGTTGAAAGATCCATGGCTGTCATATAAACACAACTTTTCGTATTTCTATGATATTTTTGATATGCAGTGATAAGTGCGTTAAGACTCGCAAAATAACGTGCGTTAAGCAAAATTACGCAAAAGATATATTCAATTGTGAGATAGTACGAGATAAAGCTAGTTCTTATACATGGCTAGTTCATTTTGACGTCGAAAAACATTTTATTTTAATTTCTCATGTTAGAACAAATGATTGAAATTAAGATAGATGATGATAAAAATAGTAATTAGTAGCTATTTTAACTATAAATTAAACTAGTAATAAAACTACCACAACTAACATATTTTATTAAACTAACAGTTACGTTTTGGCTGAAAACAATTATTTTGTTGGAGTTGGTAAAATGGTTAGAGAGTTTTTTTTTAGACGCTGTATTGCTGCAAAAAAATCTGAAAAAATTCATGAAAGCGTAGTTTAATAATACACTACTACCTGATTTTTTTCAGATTTTTAGCTTGAAAATTGAGCCAAGGAAAAATATTTTAAATTTTCAGTAATATTTTAGGTTATGTCGGAAATTTTTGGCCAACTTCAAAACAATGTTTTGAAAAAATCGAAAAAACTGCTTTTTTTGGCATTTTTCTGAAGCACCCACGCCCCTTAACAATAAATTGTATGGGCCTAGGAACAAAACAAAAAAAAATAAGTATTACATATAAAACAAAAAATTTATTTATACTGCCATAAGATACAATAATATCAGTTTTTTTTTAATAAAAAAAATATTAATAAAATAAACATAAATTAGATTTTTTAATGAGATGGATGACTCATAACCTTAACAACATACATCTAAATTAATGATCATTCATATTTTTATGTGTATTCTTACCTTTACAATCAAAACAAGCTATTAAAACTATTATTTTTTTCCTACAGCATGCTAAAAAAAAACGAAAAACCCCGTTTCCTCCATGTTTTTACTACATAACCTCAAAAGACTCTGAAAAATGAATAGTTAATTAGAACGTACTTCTATCGATCGGTAACGATCTATATAGTTCCACGACTTTTGAGATCCTTGATATATAAATTCATAAGCTCGTACCATGCTCGTCCATGTCTTACTCTTCCGCTTAGATACAAGAGCCTTATACCCATGCTTATATTATTATTATTTTATTTTATATTTTATATGTACTTAACTGTTTTGGCCTTCATGTCTTAGCCCAACATCCCGCATATCCAGGGAGCCTGATTGTAACAGAAAACATATCGTTGATAGTTGCGCCACACGGTAGTTGATATTAGGCGACGCTCTTAGTCAGTTTGCGTGTGAGGGCCTTTATCATTTCGGCGAAGCTTTTCCTCAAACGGTCAATAGCTCTCTGTTTTTGTGTTAATTTTGAATTGATTTTGAATTTGACAGCAGAATTGTGTCGTGTCTAAAATAACAGGCAAGAATAACCAGTATTATTGTTTTATATTGTAAAGCAACAAATTCTTTTTTACTATAACGTCGACCCTATGCATTGTGGTTATTTATTGGTCGGAGGTTAATAGTAAAGTAAACATCATAATGGAGGTTCACGAAAGCCAATGCTGTATTTTTATTTACACTGCGTTTCGACGTTCTGATGAAGAGCTCTTACTACATCTTTCTCAATTTTTGACTGAATCAACTGTGTAACAAAGTAAGTTTATAAGTACCTCTTTAATACTAATTCTGGGTGTTTGGATTACAGCTTTGAAAAAATATATATAAAGTATTATACTAGAGAACATTTTATAGTTTAAATTCACTTATTTCATTGCTAATTTTGTATTATTACTACTCTTGTTACTGAAATAGATAAATATTTGATAATAAACTTTGTTACTTTGAACAAAGTTTTAAACGTTTGGAACAAAAGTTTTAAAAATGTAAACCAAAACACAAAAATAAACACAAAAACAGAGAGCTATTGACCATTTGAGGAAAAGCCCCGCCGAAATGATAAAGGCCCTCACACGCAAACTGACTAAGAGCGATACAGAGGATATGGCCCTACACACGCAAACGCACTAAGAGCAATATATAATGCGAGCCTGATTATATCATATATATATGGCGTTGGTAGTTGCGTTGCCTAATATCAACTACCGTGTGGTGCAACTATCAACGCTATGTTTTCTGTTACAATCAGGCTCCCTGGATATGCGGGATGTCGGGCTAAGACATGAAGGCCAAAACAGTTAAATACACATAAAATATAAAATAAAATAATAATAATATAAGCATGGGTATAAGGCTCTTGTATCTAAGCGGAAGAGTAAGACATGAACGAGCATGGTACGAGCTTATGAATTTATATAACAAGGATCTCAAAAGTCATGGAACTATATAGATATGCGTTTGTGTATAAATGCATGTACATTGTGATATAATATCACGTATATATGTAGATATATTCGCTAGCTTTTAATTCCACAACTTTTGAGTGTACAAGTGCGTTCTAACTCACGATTCATTTTTCAGAGTCTTTTGAGGATATGTAGTAAAAACATGGAGAAAACGGGGTTTTTCGGTTTTTCAGAAAGTTGTGAGATAAAACTAATGCTTTGAATAACTGATTTTGATTGTAAAGAGGAAGATACATGTGAAAATGTAAATTACCATTCATTTAGACACTGACTTTAGAGGTTATATAGCGAAAGCTTAAAAACAACGCCGAGAAAACGGGGTTTTTCGTTTTTTTTAGCATGCTGTAGGAAAAAAAATAATAGTTTTAATAGCTTGTTTTGATTGTAAAGGTAAGAATACATATAAAAATATGAATTATCATTAATTTAGATGTATGTTGTTAAGGTTATGAGTCATCCATCTCACTAAAAAATCTAATTTATGTTTATTTTATTAATATTTTTTTTTATTTAAAAAAAAACTGATACCTATTATTGTATCTTATGGCAGTATAAATAAATTTTTTGTTTTCTATGTAATACTTATTTTTTTTTGTTTTGTTCCTAGGCCGTTACAATTTATTGTTAAGGGGTGGGGGTGCTTCAGAAAAATGACAAAAAAAGCAGTTTTTTTCGATTTTTAGGCATTTTCCACGTTGAAAATGATAACAATACCTATGCCATTCGAAAGAACGGGAAAAACCCATAAAAAAACATTGTTTTAAAGTTGGCCAAAAATTTCCGACATAACCTAAAATATTACTGAAAATTTAAAATATTTTTCCTTGGCTTAATTTTCAAGCTAAAAATCTGAAAAAAATCAGGTAGTAGTGTATTATTAAACTACGCTTTCATTAATTTTTTCAGATTTTACAGCAATACAGCGTCTAAAAATTTTTTTTTTCTTTAAATACCTTTTTTCCCATAGCGAACCCCCAGAGGCACCTAAGGACTTGAAAATTTAACTGAGTGAGTTTTTAATTATGTCCTTTCGAATGGCCAGGCCCAAAACTAAATCGAGCATGGTGCAATTTTGACCATCTTATCCCGCTATAGCCTTTAATTAAAAATCTAAACTTTACGAATTTATTGTATTTTCAGTTCTCTAGTCGTCAGTTTTGAATGCAAAATAATCAGCTCAAGACTGTTTACTGTCAAAATCATCACTAAATTCTCAGTGTAATGATTTTCACCAAAATTTAGAACACTGTCGCCACTCGAATATGAAGTATGGAGCGTGCGAGCAGGGTACCAGCTGCAGCTGCCTTGTGCGGCAAAACATGAAACGAAGAGCCACATCAAGAAGTATTTTCGCACGGTTTATGGAAACTTTTTTTGAAAAAACAATTCGTAAAAATGGTTTTAACGGTAGGGAATAAAGTGCAAATTGCTTCAAATTGACAATTCAGTCAATTGTACGTAATTTTTTCAATTATGGATCCGAGTCCACTCCAAAAAGAGTTAGTAGATGTTCGTTAACGTTCGATGTCATACCTATAATTATGACTGAAGTCAATTAGCTCATAAGTTAACATCTAAAGGTTGGAAAGTATCGACAGTGGTAATTTCATTTTATTTCACAACGTATTATGTTTCCATCTTTTGCGTTATTTCACCGGGACTTAACGCACTAATTACTGTATATAGGAAAAACATTAAAGTAACATATGATATAAAAAAAGTAAAGATTTTCAAAAACCAAAGTCTTGTTCATAGAGAAATTGATTTTAGGTCTGGAAAGAAGAATTTTAAATAGAAATGTTTTATAAGAAAGTTATTTGAACTTACCAAGTTGACAACACAATGCATATAAGCCACACCTCTTTAGTGATCATTGCAACAGCAACAAATACTGAAAATAAAAAGTTACACTTTATACCTGCTTGATATGTAAGTCGTAATCAAATTGATCTGATTAATTTTACGTTTATCTTATTATTGGCATTCATTAAACTTCGTCAAGAGCACCAAGATAATATTTTATTACGATTTAATTTTTTATAGATACCAACTATATTCTATAGTGCTATATAGAATCATATTTTGATTGTATGTAGTTTAGTAAGATTAAAAATTAACTCGGTATGTGCAGTTATGTTACCGATTCATGTAAAGCGGAAAGTCTTTGATCAGTGTGTTCTGCCAGTAAAAACCTACGATGATGAAACACTGTCCCTAACAAAAAAATTCTATAAAACTAAGAGTAGCTCAAATATGGATGAGCTTTAATGATAGGAAAAACAATAACAGACAAAATCATAAACAAAGACCTACGAAAAAGAATCAGAGTTACAGATGTTGTAGAGAGCTTGCAGATTGAAATGGAGATGTACTGTCCACGTGGCAAGGATGAAGGATGGATGATGGATATGCAAGTTAATCTAATGGATACCAAGGGATGAACGGACGGATAAACGAAACAGAGGAAGACCACCTACACGATGGCAACATGATCTGTAGAAGATAAAGAAAATTTGGATGTATACTGCACAAAAAAGTGCAATCTGGACACATGCAGGGAGGCCTATGTCCTGCAGTTGACTTGAAACGGTCTGATGATGATGATAAATAGTGTGGTAATAAATAGACACTCTCTACTATCTCATGTCACTTATTACAAGAATGGTTATATGTAGCCACTTTATTTTTTTATTGTTACGAATTTTTTCTAGCTCATACATGTTACTCACGTTCCACATACCTATTTACTCTAGTCAGAAAATTTATTCACGATTCTAGCTAATCCGAAGATTCTTTTAACCTCTGTCTCTTTTAACGAGCTACTGTACTGATCTGAACTTAAAATGAAAAAACTATTGTCGGAATTTCTCAAAAATCCCCCTTTTTTTTAAATAACAACAATTAAAACATATACAGATGTTAGTAAGATTTATATAATTTTAGATAAGATTTTAATTTTATTTTTATAGACTAAAAGTAACGAGATATGATTGTTTAAATATTGTATTCGCATGCGTTTAGCACCACCTTCAAGCCCCTTCAGTGCAACACTTTTTAAAACGAAGGAAAAGAATAGTGTTACGCAAATTCAAGAACAAGACGAGACTTAGACAGTCTTGGTCTTGGTCTTGGTATTGCACTCTCGGTCTTGGTCTTGGTCTTGCACCAAGAGTCTTGCAGGTCTTGCAGTTACCCATTAGCCTATTACTATTTATTAAACGCTACTTTAAATTTTAGAACAATGTAACAAAGTAAGTACATTTTAAGCTTGAACTAACATAGCTATACTAAATACCAACCAAATTAATAAATGTCTAAACAACTGACACGGGGTGGGGTTTGAAGCCACGAGGCAAACGATCCGTGTCTATGCTCTAACTAACTCAGCTATCTACCATGACCCACGGAAGTCAGTCTGTTTCTTAATAAACGTTTGAATATAATAAGCTTACATGTGCTAAAACATGGTTAAAACACAAAAAGACCAAATTAATGACATAAACAACTGTATTTTAAAGAACATTATCTGTCTAGAAAGGCATTAATGGATTCCCACCATATATGAAATGGAAATCTTCAAAAAGGTTGATATTTGGCAAAAAATCCACATACATGTATCAAGGGCACATATTTTTTAGGTAATGAGATAACAAACTATAATCCACTTATTAAAGAATAATAATTGTTGTTAACAATCTAAGATCTACTTTTATATAAAAAACCAACTTGAAAAATTAAAGAATAGATAAAATAGCAATGATAGTCAAAAGAAGTTTTTTTAAATTAATGAGATACCTAGGTAATGAATATACTAATTTACCAAAATAAAGTAGTAGTTACATAATGTATGTAATTAGCACGGTTGTGATACCAAATTTTGGTTTTCAAGAAAGAAATATTTTAATTCTTTTTTGTGAAAAGATATTAGATGCTTTCTTAAACCTAACGTGTTTCTGTTTTTAATTTTTATTCCAACCTTTATATCTAGCTACAATTTACACAAAGCAATTTGAGATTCATGAATTATTTCGAAAAACTCATCAAATTTGCTTTTAGGTCTTTTAGATCTATAACTCTAACTCTCACTACTCTGACTAGAACTATTTGAATCTTCGTCCCTTATCTCAAATTGTCACTCAGGGAACCAGGATTAGAGAATTAGAAAGAATTCAAATACCTAGGAGCAACAATTACCAGTGAAAACACAGGAGAACGGGAGGTTGAAATACGAATACTGGCGGGGAATAAATCATTCTTTGCCATTCAACATCTAATGAGGTCAAAGCTTCTCTCAAGGCGTGCCAAAATCCAAATGTACAAAACCATAATACGACCAGCAGTGACATATGGAAGTGAAACATGGACAATGAGAAAGAAAGAAATCAATAAGCTATTAGTATGGGAACGCAAAATCCTGCGAATTATATATGGTCCTTGCAGGGACAACGTGACAAATGAATGGAGGAGCAGATACAACAATGAAATAGAGACTCTCTTCGGGAAAGGCAACATCGTAAGATACATAAAAGCCAATAGATTAAGATGGGCAGGCCACGTGGTACGGAGTGATGACGACAGACTGATTACCAATGTATTTTGGGAAAGACCAGATGGTAAAAGATCGACAGGAAGGCCTAGAAAAAGGTGGAAAGACGCTGTCAGGGAAGACCTGGAGAAGATGGAAGTAAGGCCATGGGAAATAATAGCCCAGGATCGGAATCAATGGAAGGCAATAGTAAACGCGGCAAAAACTCACGAAGAGTTGTAAAAGCCAATGATGATGATGAACCAGGATTAGATGAAAAACAATTATTACATTAGACTTGAATGAAAGCTCAATTGTGAATGAAGTTTAGTGATCACAAAAGTAACTACTACTAGTTAGAATTATAGTTTATTCGTCTTCCGGGTTTGGACCGTGTCTTTTGTGAGTGACCCAAAAGTGGGTTCATCTCGACGTTTCGCTACAATTGTATGTAGCTTCTTCAGGAGAACAAAGAAAAAGAAAAAGAAGACAGGAAGATGGGTAGTTAGCAACGGTAACTCAGTTACTCAACGCAACCAAAGGCGAATACTAACTACCAAGATGGGCATTTGGTCACAGTAACTCAACTACTCAACGCAGCCAGAGGTGAAAACCCAAAATACTACTAGTTACTTTATGTTCGTTAAGTAAAGAATACCAAACCGAGAATTATATACCTTTACTTGGGTATTCTAAATATTTGGGTATTCTGTTTACACGGTAGCCGACATTATCTGTTATTAATTTGTCTCGTTAATTTTGAATATTAGCCGCGCTCTTTCAGCAAATTTTGTTTAACCTAATGATCTCATCGCACACTCAGCAGAAACGATTTTTAGAGGCCGATAAGAGTTGTTTATTTAGATTCCTCCTAACTAAATTATAATGGGAAAACAATTGAATTATTAAGTGGGTTTCCTTAACAGCATTATATTTTTTACTAGCTAAGGTGACATATTTTTAAAAAGTTTCAATATGATATTACTGTCGGCGTTGTAGTGCAAGATTATTGTATGATTAGAGGCCGGCTAATACAAAAGCCAGCTACAAAATATTTGATTTTTACATTGTAATTATGACTTTTGTGTCATATTGCACGTGTCAAATGTGTCACTCTTTTAATGAATATTTTGATTCGGTATGTATGTTTATGCTATTATTTGTAATGCGCATAAGTTTAGTTTTTAAAATTTTTATTACATATTTTTTGCGTTTCATAGAGTCTTTAAGTATATACCCGAACTACTATACTCGCTAAAACGACACTCAGTCCTAACTGCAAGATGCAAGAGTCTCGGCTTAGCCTTGTTCTTGCTTAAATCTTGCACGGTAAGTCTTGGTCTTGGTCTTGCTAAAACTAGGTGGTCTCGGTCGTGCGAAAACTCAAGAAGAAGACCGAGACTGCAAGACCAAGACCTATTTTGGGCCTAAATCGACCGATTTTTAAAATAAACTACAAAGCGGTGTATATTAAACTTTTTTCAAGCATTTTTTTGACCACCTTAAACTTGAATTTCTGTTTCAAGTGTTTGTAGTTTGCACGTGGAGAATCTTATCTTCAGATGACCTTACTACGATAATATCAATTATAAAATGTAATTTTCGTTTGTGACTTAATCCCATTTAAACTAATATTTAACTTATAGATGTCACAAGAAAACGGTTTCAAAATGTTTTTAATAGTTTTTTGCACTATAATTTTCACGAACAATTTTTCGAAGGTAATTACTATTAAACTGGGAATAAGCCACAATTAAAGATAAAAATACGTTTATTGACGTTTCAATTTCCACTTCGGAAATCGTTCTCAAAATACAAACAGTAAATTAAACAAATTTTGTTTTTTGTTACATAGTGAAAAATTCTTCTAATAATTTAATTTTATCTGACTCATTTATATTGACAATTCAGACATACATTATGCATTTTAAAGTAGACGACTTTAAAATGATATTGCCAATATTATTGAGTTGCGCTCCTGGACCGACTTTACTTATAAGATAGTGCATTCGATTACATGAAATCAACATTAACTTGAGAATATCCGTCAGAAAAAAATCATAGCATGTAATTCGTCTTTAAAAAGACAAACACATGACACGATGACAGTAAAATTCTCCTGTTAGTGATTCCATAGTAAATTATGAGGGAAAAACCAGGAAAAAAACCTCATAATACTATCCCGACATTGTAAGTATTTGTTCGTGAATTTAGTTTACCTTCAACAAACATCAAAATTCTGATTTTATATGTTACGTTATTTAAAAAACATAAATGATGTATACTCTATATGTTACTGACTTACTAATACTGGTATTTTCTTATTAATAACTTCCTCTTTCAATATTGGTAACCAGATCCTACTACATTCTGCTGAGGAATTTGCGACACAATTGGCCTCATTTAGCATAATTA